CCACACTGCAGGAAGTCAGAGGACTGACACCAAAACTATGTGCGTTCTCTCTCAGCATTTCATTTGACATTTTTCAATCAATGCCATTCATTTGATTATAGGAATATATTGACATGTTACGAGTTACACCCTTTTTCGTTCCTTTGTTAAAGTTAATCAATACCACTTTAGGGCCAGGGGGCCTGGTTTTGGTATTATGTATTTTTTTTAAATCATTGTTATTTGCTTATTATTTATTCCCTTTTCTGTCTCTAATCGGTCAGTCACTACACACTCTAACACATATTAACATGGCCAATCATAACCCCCTTCAAAAACAAGTGGTTTGCATTTTCATAACGACATTACAGTTTTTCTCAATCGCTAAACCCACTATTTAGAATCAAAATTCCTTTCATCAAACCAACAGCACAGCCATCGAACGATCTAAAAAGTGGGTTTAGCGATTGAGAAAAACTGTAAGTACAAAAAACGATTAATTTATAAGTATTTCTTAATGTAATTTCCTAATTTTCTTTAGATGCTATTGCACCTGTATATCAACAGTGCATTTTATGATCAGCCTGTGATGATGGTGAATAATTCTAAGTCCCTGTACAGCTATAAGATAGGGTATTTGGTTGAACAGTAAACACAATAATAAAACATCAGTCGAGTCAGCGCGATATACATTATGTAAAAAATCAATTTACACAAGGAAGGGTTATCAAAAGCAGAGGCTGATGTCACTGGTATTTAAGGTAACACTTTCTCAGAACGTTGTCACATGAATCAACAAAAGTTTAAATATTGGAATATGGGAAGAATTAAAATGCTTTCCGCTAAACCACCAGCCAAATTAGCTTCTCCTTCCCTGACGTTACTATTGACTCATTACCCGTTTAGATAACTCAAATATAAATAGATAAAGGAATACAAATAATAATTTTGATTTCCAAAAAGGTTGGGGACGTCTATTCATTTTGTGATATACTTTTGAGATTGGACACACGTCAAGGTACAACTATGCTATAAATGTCAGGATTTTATGTTAAACTGCAACATCGTTATAATACGAGTGCTTATACTTTTCAAAATGTCAAACTATACCTTCAGCATTGCAGTAGTAGCAGCATATCCACATACATATGGCCAAATCACCTTAATGCACATTAAAGTGTGCGGCTGTTTTCATTATTTTGGGCCGATCAGTTTCTAAAAGTGTGCTTCCATATTTCTGGCAACAGTTTTTAAATATATTCAAATCTGATACAAATTGTTGTCCACATACTTCTGGCCATGAAGTGTTGTGTGTGTGTGTGTGTGTGTGTGTGTGTGTGTGTGTGTGTGTGTGTGTGTCAGCAGTAAACTCCAGCTGAACTACACTCAGTCTTTCTTCTGCCAATCTCCTCTCTTACGGCGTACTGTGGTCAATTCAGGGTGCTGATGTTCCCCTCAGTTTGTCAGCAGGTCTGACGGACGCTCAACAACGCCTACAGCCTTCCTCAAGGGAAGTGTCACAGTTGGACATGCCCCCCCCCACCATGCATCAACCCATCACAGACACATATTAAAAAAAGACAGCTAAACGGACGTTACACACACATACCGAATATATCTCACCTCTTTACTCTTTCTTAATCTGCGGCACACACACACACACACACACACACACACCACACACACACACACACACACACACACACACACACACACACACTGACACTGACACATTGACTAAATTGACTTGTCAGCTTCAATCAGACCGGGAACAAAAGGATTCCTGCCAGTTTGAAGCTGACATCATTAATGTGTTTGGGAGGGGGGCGAGCTCTGAAGACAAAGGGAGTGCAAGGTCGGTCCGACTTAAAATGCACTTTCATTTTGGCAGGGGACGTTAGCTTTTTTTTTTGCAAGGCTTTGGTGTGCTGATGGAGAGAAATGTGACATCCATGATGCATTTCCTATTAAAGGATGCCACGCATGAAAACCCCTGGCCACGTGTCGGCGGGAGATGGACAGGGAGAGAATGAGCATAAATGTGGTGTTGGGGTGGAGGGGGGGAAAAAAGGTTGCCCAGTTAAGATAACACGTAGAGAGGGGCGCAACTTGAGCGAAAAGGAAGAACGGAGGCAGATTGTTTCAAGGTTTGAAGAGTACAGCTCTTCATGTGACATATGAAATCCGCACATACACCGGCTTTCCTGGCGCATTGTAGCAGTAAAGCCGAATGCTTTGAACATTTAAATCCTCGCCTCTCACTCCTATGACTTCATCCGTTCTCATTTGCTTCTGTTTCCCTTTTTGCCGCATCTGCCCCGTCCCCCCACCACCACCCCTCTCTTTCATTCTGACCCTGGATAAAGATGGAGGCCTCATCTCAAATGGTAATAACTTTGGACCATATGCACACAGCCATCACAAATTGATTACTGTGTAATGCTGCGAGCACTCCCACTCCCTCACTTTAGCTCGTGCCTCTTCCATCTTGTGATTTTGCACCAGGCTGACTCCATGTCCAATCCGGCTGCCATTAAACAGCACCCCTGGGTGCATCCCAAACATAAACAAGTGCATCCTAAACTCTCTGATTCCCCCTGGCTCACTGATCCTTCCATTCCCCCATCTCATCCCTCACCCTCTCTCTCCATCTTTGTCTAGCACTTGCTCGAAACCAGCTTCTCCTTCACCTGTTTTACCCTCAACCACTCATTCCCCTTTATTCTCATTCTAATTATACCATTACATTACCATTTCTATTCTCTCATTAGCATTTTTTAGCTCACCCTGTCTCTTACGCTTCCCCTCTGCAATTTTCTTTTTCTCTTTTACTCCCCTCTCTGTCTTTCTCTATTACCCGTCTTTTTTTCTCAGCCTCTGAATATGTTCCACCTTTTTTGCGGCACATAAACAGACAGTGCCCTTGGGGATGGGTTGGAGAGCTCTGTCTTTGTTTGTGTGCACCTCTAACTAACTTTCCATCTGCGGGGAGCCGAGCCAAGCCCAGCAGTGCAAGACAGATAGCTGGCACCATCCCAGACTCTTCTCTAGTTGGCCCCATGTCTTCGCCCCCGCCTCTCAACTTCTCCTTCCTTCCAGGCTATAGTCTTCCCACAGATGCGGTTGTCAGCTATCCTCAGGCAGCCCAGTGAGGTACTGCAGAAAGCCCGACCCCTACAATTCCTCCTTCCACCAAGCCTTAAACCAAAACATGCTTCAGCTTCATATGGATATCCAATCCTTTCCGAGCCATATTCTGTGGATGCTCTATCCCCAGTCGACCCCGGCTTCACCTCCAATACGAGCTCACTTCAGAGACTAATAACCAATAGCACATTATTTTGTATTAAGCCACTTCAAAGAGCTTTCAAAGAGAGAGGAACTGATGCATTAGCATTAGTTAAAAAACAGAGTTTAAAGCACGTAATTGCCTGAGGCTGTATCATAAACTTTGCATTTTTGTAATAACGGTATATGTTGTTTTTTGTTGAATTTGTTGGAGAGGAATGTCCTTTCTCGTTAAAGGGAAATGTCCATTTTCAGAATTCATACATCTTATTCCTTTGGTCTAAGGCAATTATTGCATTACCTGTTTTTTAGCTGATGCTTTTATCCAAAGCAACCTCGAGACATTTCAATATCCTAGACCTGCGGGAACAATTTGGAGTTCAGTATCCTGACCAAGAACACTTGACCTCTGATTGATAGGTGCGCCCTGTGCCACAGACTTATATTCATAAACAACAACAACTCTCCCAATCCAAAAGTGATAAAACTCAAATTTCTGATGTCATCAAGTTAAATGTTGCATGATGTTTTTCGTTGCATTATTTGTTGAGAAACATCTTCCCTGTGACTTTAAGCGACACTCATTTTCCAAAGTCATACAGCTTGGTCTATGACAATCCAAAAATATATAGTAATCTCATTTAGATTTTATCCAAAGCGACTCACATACACTTTAGAACCATAAACCTAAGTGACCAAATTGGGGTTCAGTATCGTTCCGAGGAAACTTTGTCATTCTGACTGAATGAGCTGGGGATCGAACGAGCAACCATCTGATTGGTAGGTGCCCATTTTGCCCCAGACTTATATTCATAAACAAGAACAACTCTCCCAATCCAAAAGTGATAGCACTTACATTTGTGATGTCATCAAGTTTAATGTTGCATGATGTTTTTTGTTGCATTATTTGGTGAGAAATGTATTTTCTGTGAATTTGTGCGACACCCATTTTCAAAAGTCATACAGCTTGGTCTAAGACAATCAAAAATATTGGTTATTACATCACATCTTATTTAGATTGTGCCCAAAGCGACTTACATACACTTTAGAACCATAGACCTAAGGGAGCAAATTGGGGTTCAGTATCTTTCCAAGGAAACTTCGTCATGCTGACTGACTGAGCTAGGGATCAAATGAGCAACCATCTGATTGGTAGAAGCCCATTTTCCCTCTGAGCGCAAGCCATATATTTACAAAAGAACAACTCTACCCAACCCTAAATTACAGAACTCAAAATGATATAATATTATGTTGTTTTTCGTTGCATTATTTTGTAAAAAAGGTCCTCTCTTTGAAGGGGAGCTACAACCATTTTCAAAATGTATAGATGATTGTCCTACGGTCTTAAACCATCCAAAAGTATTAGTTATTGGATTACTGTCATTTAGTTGACGCTTTTAACTAAAGCAACACTTCAATACCTACGGGAGCACTTTGGGGTTCAGTATCATGACATTGACATGTTGACTACAAGGCCTTGTGATCAAACCACTGACGCTCCAATTGGGAGACGCCCATTAACCCCCAAAGCCATAGCCTTATATTAGAAAAGTGCTCAAACTCAATTCTGTGATGTCATCGGGTATTAAGTCTGAAAGTGCTCCATAGAGAGTTGAAATGAATCATCAAAGGTGCGCTAGATTATCCGCCAAGCTTAAATCTCCCCTGGGTGCTTTGCATAGTGATGGGCAATCAATCCCCTTGTGGAATTAGAAGAGAAATATTCCACTCACCGTTGTCAGGCTCGGACTTCCTGTCGTGCTCGGTGTCGGTGAGGGACAGGGCGGAATTGGCACGGCTCGTCAGGCAGGAGCTCTGCTCGGACTTCAGCCCACGCATCCACATGTGCTGCAGGCCGTGGTTCGGAGAGGGGTCCACCTCCGGCTCCGTGTCCACGTCGGAGCCCACGCCCAGGGAGTAGCGGCTGTGGACGTGAGCGGCCGGTCCAGAGCACAGCGCCTCCTCCTCCTCCTCCTGGTGCTGCTGCTGCTGCTGCTGCTGCTGCTGCTGCTGCTGCTGGGGGTGGATGTGGTAGTCCGGGCTTCTCATCTGCCCGGCCTTGCAGAAGTCTAAATCTAAAAGAGGAGGACAGACACGCAGATTGGGATCAGCCTACAGACATTAGAGCTGTAAAGCCTCTAATTCCGGCATGTGTTTGTATTTGCTTCACAACTAAGCTGACCAGGTGTTTGTCATTTACAAGCCAAACCCCTCCCAAATTATGTCAAGAGACACGCTGCTATTTGAGCAAGCATTTATTTCAATTTGTTTTTCTTTTGCTGCAGAAGCCCAAATCAAAATGCCACCCTCGATTTTTCTTAACCATTTGCAGTGAAGCTATATCCTGTTCGCGCTGCCTGATGTGTGTTATCGAGCTGGAGACGTATTGAACTGCTGCTCAAACAGAGCACTGATCTCATCTATATTCTCCTTGGTGGGGTGAAGAGATCAGATAAAGATCAAACCTTATTAATATTGACTCAGACTGAGGGAAGAATTGAGCCTCATATGCTTTCAGGTATTAGAACGCCCTCCAATCCCAAGCATCAAACTGATATCTGAGAACATCTTATATACTGTGTTAGTCCTCTGGTTACACTTCAATTCAATTCAATTCAATTGACTTTTTTTTTTCATTCCTGCAGAGGCAGTTGAGTAAATTTTCTTCCTCACCACCTGAGTTTTCTGTTTAGAATGTATAAGTGGAAGAGATGGAACTGATGGAATTTTAAAAAGGCGAGGCCCTAAATTGAAATCCATACAGATACTACCGGAGCCTCGCAGGATAGACTCCACTGAGAACACAGGAAAGAAAGAGTTCTTCTGCTCACTTAGTGCAGTTAATATGTGCGTTAGGTCGGCTCCTTTGAACACGAGCCGCAGTGTTTCAATAAGAGCCACAGTCCTGTTGACCACTCCATTGACCGGCGTTGTGTCCTGCTGTGCCTGTTTGATGGGGTCAGGACCAACTGTGGCTCACACAGTGTTCTGCTGGAATTAAACTGGCACAACATTGGTCACCACTACACACTACTGTTTAGCTGAAATTGGCTGCAAGAGGGCAATTTAGGAGCAAATAGGCTATTTCCCTGTAGCACTGTAGCAAGAAACATGCATTCTATTGAAACAAATGCATTATACAAGAGGAGATTTGAGGTGATTGGAGGGGAAATCATGTTTTGAATAATGTCCTTTTTCCTGCCATTACAATAAACTGCTTCCTACTCACTTTAGAGAAAAAAACGAAATATATATTTATCAGTATTTTCATCCAATGCTGTAAGTACTTTAAAAAGAACAAAATCAGAAAAAATGTTGGGTCATAACTCTACTTTGTCATAGTGCTGGATGTCATGGAAAACCAATATATATTCTGAATACGAAATGTATAAATCATTTTGACAGAGACATGAATAAAAGTTAGCAAAGCAAGTGACTGGTCCATGTGCCAAATGGCTTCTGCTGATTAAATTGTCACAACACCTCAAGTGAGATCTTTTATTAGCTTGGTGCTCATATATGTTGAATATTCCTAAATGAATGTGTTTGATTACTGTTGATCTCGGGTAGTACTTACATAAACATGTTTGAATGAATTTGTTTGAGGTTAGTTTTTATTATTGCACAGTGTCAGCAATTAACTTTATGTAAAAATGTTGGATCATATTTGTATTTTAGTCTTTATTCTTCTCATGCAGCACCCCCTTTCCCAAATGTGCCATATAATACAGCAAACACAACTAGAACAGGAGAAAGCTGAAACTGTGTAACAGCTTAGATAAAAGCTTGGAGGAATAAGTCAGCATCATTTAAAGTCACAGACATTTAAAAAGCAGGCAATTACTACAAATCAATGTTAAGAAGAGAATCAACACACACGTGACAACATCAAATCACATTACATTAGGGAAGACAGGTAAAACCCACTAATCATCTGCTAATTAAAGATTGAAGGGGATTTATTTTCTTTGTCTATTAATAATGCAAGAAAAACATAAAATCTATCAATGTTTTTTTATGGATAACTGTTATTTCTAAAGACATTATAATCAAGTCAATTATATGATGATGTTGCCGAGATAGATATAAACAACATTCTACTTTATTACCACTACATTATGAAGAAAACCTACGCCATTTTGTTTACCCACATGTTAGGATTCATGCAATGTTATCAAATATAAAGAATACTATAATTATTCATGCATGTATATATAAAATAGTCAGATTATTTCACTGCGGTTACCTGTAAATAATTTCACATTCATACAGAGCTATAACTGGTTTCTGGATATGTAAACAAAATGCATTTAAGTAATTAATGTAAGTAAATGAATAGACTAAACCAAAATCTAATTAGTGTGGGAAGCCCTCTTAGGTGATTAACAATAATTATCTATACATCTATGAATAGTATCTTTTTAATTTTAAAGGACCTGAGAAAGGGGCAATAAGGGAAAATTGGGAATTTGGGATTTAATCCACTAAGAGGAATGTGTAGTATCAAGGAAAATTATGAGGGAGGAAAAGAAGGAAGGAGATGGCAAGATGCGGCAGTTTGAAAGATGAGGGAAAATATGAAGAAGCTGGGCGGGGAATTAGAGGGGAAAAAAATTGGCTGATCTTTGTCAGGAACACTGTAATCCATTAAAAACGTCACTAGAGGCAAAATCCCCCCTTAACAGTTGGTTACTTAGGTAGGCTAAGCTATATATAACTCGGTTGCCCAAAGATGAACAGATGTGTTTCTCAGAACCGGCTGCCATTGACATTTCAAGGTCTGCTTTGGGGGGTCTATCACACCTTACCATATGACACTGATGGCAGGGGATGTTGTTTGTTATGGAAACAGAAAGGGCGCAACTGTTGAAAAAGCCAAGTGCTCTTTGACTCTACAATGTTGCGGAAGACATGATGATGACTAATGGCCATTGATGGGTCCCTGCATGGAGAACAATACCATGAAATCCATAGAAGGTGGCATTCAAAACACGCTATCCCCGCAGCGGCCTGATGTCAGGAGTTGTAACTGCTGTGAATGGCTAATGCTGCTTGTTAGCATGGTGAGTAGGTCTTGCAGAGAAGCGCGAGGTTGGAGTAGGAGAAAGAGTATCTATTGATCACAATGAACCCTGCACAGCGGCATTGCCCCGATGAGGTGCTGCTTCTCTCTTAACACCACACATGACCTGCATAAAGGCCATCCATCACAGCACGCATTGGCCCATTTCTCCTCCTGTCACCGGCAGGGAAGAATTCTTCAGTGTATGTGTCAAAGTGCGCCTGCGTGTGTGCCTATGTCCACACGTGTGTGTGTAATGAAGGGGGGTGTTCCACCCCAGGTGAGGCCATAGAGGTTTGGGGTTGACCTAGTTTAGCTGTGGGAGAGAAATATCACCTCCGTGGAGAAGAGGTAATTGGCTGCCTCCGACTGTCCTCCTGTCTCATTGTGGAATGTAATAGGTAATTCACAAAGGTCCTTTTAAAGACCCCAGTGAGAGTCCTTGTGAGTGCGCCTTCCCCTTGTGTGCCAGAATCCATTTATGTGCACATACAGTATCTATGGATTTATATTTTTAGATGAACACATAAGCCTTAAGGCCCTGACAAACCAAGACAATTATTGGGCGTTGTTCAAGTTGGAAACGTTGGTTAGTGTCTGTTGACCATGTGTTTACGCTGTGTCCCACACTGTGGACATCGCGATGGAAACTGTCTGAGAATATATCCAAATGATTGGCCGTCCAGCTTAAACGTATCAGCGTGCGGGAAGAGAAAGACACGAGAAACACAAAGAAACGCCTCAGGTTTCCATCTTCGTCTCATTTGCTGTAAATTTGTATTTAAATTTTGTTTTCATGCTATTTTATTTCTATTGAGATGTTTACATTTTTAATTGTTTATTTCTAGTCTTTTAATTGTTCTAATGTATTTTTATGCTGCTACAACGCAAACATTTCAAAAATTGGGATCAATAAAGTACATCTTATTTGATCTTATCTTTCTAGAACTCAGATACTTTAACAATGACAATGCCGTCTAAAATGAAAATGGTAAGACGAGTCATGTGAAAATGGTTGGTAACTCTGCTGTGTTTAAGGGTTTGTATCTTTGTACTGTAGTACCTGGTTGGGGTTGGCTGTAGTTGTTCTGTCTCTCCCGGTGAGATCCGAGTGTGAGGCGCAGCTCGTGTGTGTAGTCCGGGAGGGTTTCACGAGAGGTGTAGGAGCGGTGGTGGGCGCGGCCGTCCTCGCTCTCGTCAGACGAGCTGGTATAGGACATCTCCATCTCATGGCGTCCCTTAGACAAAGGTTGGTAGGGTTTGCTGTCCATCTCCTCCATGGCTTGTAGGTCTCTGCTTAGTCACTCAGCACAGCCACGGGACAGAGCACAGAGTCTGGAGGTGAGAAAAGACGGGAAGGGAAGTTAAAGTGAAAGAGGCAGGAAAAGGACAGCAGGGAGGAAGAAAGATGTGCCAGTGGAGGAAAATGAAGGGAAACAGGGGAGTGAACAGACAGGGCAGAGGAGAAAAATAGCACCAGAAGCCTGTTATTGAACACAGTGGGACAATATTGCAACATCTGCTCATTCCAATTACAGCAGACATTCATAAACAGTATTTGGCTTCTTTCATATTTCACACCAAAGGTTAGTTCCAAATCAATATGCTCAGAAGGGGCCGCGATGGAGGCCATTATGTCCGGACGTGTATGAAGAGAGATTGGCCATAATCAAGCACGGCTCTCCGTTCTGTCACTTGTTGTTTCTGTCTTATCCCCCTGGGCTTTAGCTCTATTTTACAGACAACCATTGACAAGTTGGAGAACAAAATCAACTAATTTGCAGCTCGAGCCCCACGTCTGTCACTCTCATTAAACACTGTTACTCACCAGCTTCCCAAGTAGTGACGACACACTATTACACACCAGGCTTTACAGTGTCACTGCCCTTCCTAATGGAGAATTGATAAAGACTCTCTTGTTCTTCTCTTAACCACATCAAAATCTATTTTTGATAACGTCCGGCACAATATGCTTATACCGCCATAACCGGTGATTGATTGGGACGTCGATTAGGGCCCAGAAAGAAGTGATTAGAAAACACTTCATTCATATTAGTTCTCTTTCACCGTGCCTTGCCTGAGGCCTTTCCAGCCTATTTCCTGCAGATATAAAGCTTCTAAATGGAGCTTGAGAGGGTCATTGCTCATAGAGACAAAGTGCTATGGTATTGACCTCTTCAGGGAGTCCTGTAGTCCATATATCAAAGCCATTAGAGCGTGCCTGCTCAATACCTCAGAGATCTGCAGCAGAGGGTGATCACCACCAGTCTGATACAAGTTTACAGCTGACCTTTCTACCACTGCAGTAATGCTTTTATTCCACCTGAAAGACTCCTTCCCTTGGCCTGGCGCTCAACCCTCCTCATGCACATTTGCTCACACACGGATCGCTTTGCATGCACACAGAGACCACCCGCCGACCCCTGACAGTCAAACGGCACATTCATCCCACACACACATCCTCATCTTGTGCAGACATTATTATGACGCAGATGATCAGTTAAAAGCCTTGTCCTCCATCTCTTGAGTTTCCTCTTTAATCAAAGCACAAGAAGGCCTCTAAAACCACATTTTGCATCCTATTACCTGAGCGGTACTGTAGCATACTGTACGCCTCACACACCACACACACATACACTTGTGGTTCCCCTGCAATCGCGATGCCTTTCATTTTGATTGGCAGGAGTTATTGCCTGGAATCAAAGCCGGCTATTATCTCAGCTGCCCTGTCAGAATGGGATTGACTGGTGTCACCTTCTCTCTGGTACGACGAGGAGTGAGTATACATTACCCTGTGAGCTCTGAGCTTGCTGCAGGCACTGACTGCTGCCTGTCTCTACAGAGGCTCTCTGTCCTGTTTTATGTCTGTCACACGGTAACATGCAACAATGAAAAGCATGCAATCCCCGGCACACCATCTTGTGTCCCCATAGATGGAGTGTGCGCATACACGGACCAATCTGGTAAACATTTTGCTTGGTGTGTGTATTCATGCTTGTACAATGCGGAATAGCTGGTCTTGTTTCCTCTACTTGTTAATTCCCCTCTTCCACCGTCATTCCTTCTTGTACCAGTCCATTTCTCCTCCTTGCCTCTCATCCTTGCCCTACCTTACATGCTCTCCACCCTCCGTGTCGTCCTCGGAGGCCCCTGCGTTTAGAGAAGTAAGCCTGCTAGCGGGGGTTATTCTCGCTAATTCTAGCCCACAGTGGGGTGCCCATTAGGGGGTTTGATTCTTGGTTTTGATGTCAAAACCTGGTGGTTGTTTCTTAGAGCCCAGCTCACTTCAAACAAGACACATGGGCTTTCTGTAGGACAAGTCAGCATGTGCCACCTGAGCACAACACTAGCCTAGATTTGCAGTCGAGGAGGAAAGCACCTTGGGGCTCTTATAGCGGGCGCCGATGGCTCGCTATTCATAGAAAAACACACACAAGGACAGCCACGGGAAGGACTAATAATGATGTCGAAATAATAATCGTCATGCTAGAGTTAATGTTTAATACCTCAATCTTCAAAAACCTTCACTACATGGTTTGTATCATCTCGCTCATCGTTTTTTATGTGCGTGTAGAGCAGGGATCCCCCAGTGAAGCTAACTAAGTGCTTGAATGATTGCATCACTACGCTGCCAGTGACTAACAACTGATCTTAATCATCTCCATACAAGACTGAAGTATGTAAAATGCATAGCATTTAAAGATTTATGAAGTGCAGCATACTGTGTTAACCACAACACAAAACTGCATTTTATGTATCGTCACTTAATAGAGAAAAGTAAAAGTTAGATAGGCCTACAGGTGAAAATGTGCGATGTCGAGAGATTTGTTTGAGCTACAAATAGATTAAAACAGTGAGTTCTTGTTTGCAATGACAATGTATGTGTATGTTATTGTGTGATTTCATTCCTACTTTAATACTAATCTATAATTCATCAGTGTGTAATGGCCTATTCACTGCATGGTTTAAAATTAATACAAAGTGACAACACTGAGTGAAACACATGCATCGCATTAAATTGCCCCAACTCCTAACCCTTCTCTTTCTTATCAAATTCTCTCTCGCCACAAACTCTCACACACACAACCACACGGGAGTGATAATCCATGGCTACACTGTTGCAATATTATTAAATGAGACTCTTCGCCCGCTTGATCCCCTTCTATCCTTCCATTTGCTAAAACAGGGTATCCGTATAGCAGTGGGCTCCAGTGGGCTCCAGTGGACAAAAAACGATTAATTTATAAGTATTTCTTAATGTAATTTCCTAATTTTCTTTAGATGCTATTGCACCTGTATATCAACNGTGGGTTTAGCGATTGAGAAAAACTGTAACACCCTCTCCTCTGGCACAGGTGTCAGCTGTTTAGAGGACATGAATAAAATAGGAATAAGACTACTATTTCAAATAGTAGTCTTATTCCTATTTTATTCATGTCCTCTAAACAGCTGACACCTGTGCCAGAGGAGAGGGTGTTACAGTTTTTCTCAATCGCTAAACCCACTTTTTAGAATCTAAATTCATTTCTTCAAAACAAGAGCATAGCCATC